CCAATATGAAGGTTGGCACTCGAATAACCACTTGTAATTGCCAGATAAGGGACTTGTGATGCGAAAATAATATTGTCGTGTCAAATACTGTGACAGATAGCATCGTACGACTTCGTAGATTAATGCTATTGGCTTATCTCAAGATAGCTCACAGGTAACACCGAGCTTCACCTATCTTTAGAATGTGTGCTGAGTCACCGTTCACATGGATCCACTGTAGGCATGTCCATGGTCCCGGTAGACAGTGTATCAGGGGTCTGACCCTGCTTGTATATATACTGGGCTCGTCTGGGTTTACACTCCCAGACTTATCTACCTTCATCAATACTCGATACACTTGACTGCTACTGCGACTTCCCCTACAAGTCCAGTACGCCTCTTATAGTCTGCAACATCCACCACTTCGACTTAGTCATCTAAGCAAGTAAGACTTCAGACTTCGCCTCGTATTTGGGTCTTCGTGACAGTGTAGTATGATCATTCAGATGTGACTGTATGCTACATTCGTGCCATGCAGCTCACAATGGCAGTCTGCAGCATCCTCCTTGCTCCCGACACTCGCTGAGCCTGGGCTGCCCACTATGAGCAGGGGGCCTTGACCTTGATCACGATGAACGGAAGCATTCCGGGCACGTTCTCTTGACACTAACGATGCGACAGTCGAGCGTGCATGACTGTGACACGCGCACATGTCTTATGCGTGCTCTTAGCAAGTGACGAGAACCTCGATGAGTCTCAACGGTGGGGGGAAAGCTGATATGTCGAAAGTGTGGCACAGTTAAGAGAGTACGAGATGGCCGCATCATATTTTGCAGGCTCGTGCAAGGTCATTATTGAGAACAGCGGTTGCTCACCTGGTTGAATTTTTCTGCCATGTGGACTTTGCGACATCAAATGACCTCTCTCGCACAGGGGAGACAATCCCGCAGCAGATGATGCATTGGAGGTCTGGCATCTGGAAAGGGGAAAACATGATTGTAACAAATTCAAGTGATCAAGAGCATGGCATAGCTCCACGTTGCGAAAACGGACCATCACGTATTCAGTTCTGAAGCTCACCACAAAAGAGGCTTGACTCACTGGTCCAATCACTGGTCCAATCACTTGGATAATCGAGTATACTTCAGCTTATGCATGTAATACAATTGTGAAAAGCACAAGCATAAATGAGGATGCTCGTGCGGACGGAGGGGTGTGAGGGAGGGGTGGCCCCTTACCTACGCCCGCCCTACCCAATAACTTAATATCGCCTGTTGTCGCTTCCTCAGAAAAGGCGATTTTATAGGTCTGCCTAGGGGAGACAAAAACCTAGTCTCGTTCCCAGACCTTCTGTACCGATGCTTGCGCTTCGTTTTTTCGATCTCCGATCGGCTGTTTTCGTGAGGTACAGAAGGTCTGGGAACGAGACTAGGAAACCGCGTCATCGAGGTCAATGTCGGGTGAAAGTGGCGGTCCGTCTCTCACGACGCGTCCGTTGCATTCGGCCACAGCAACGTGTCTTGCGACCATGGCTTCCAAGGGAGAGCTTCCAACCAGTCTCCTTGACGTCAAAGCTTGGGATGATGTGGATGCTGGTTTTCCTATGAACAATAAGGCTGCCCGCAGCGCTCGGTTCTACATCAGCTCTGCTCTTCGTCTCCTCCTGGCTCTTTGCTGCTTGCTAGTGCTCAGTCTCAAGTATCGTCTCGGTGTGTTCACATCTGCAGGTGATGATACGCCTTCTCTGTTATGGTACGATATGAACAAATCGACCGGTGTCTGCCCGCAAACCGCACCCATTGTCAATGCGGAGCACTTCGACTTGCTCTCAGAGCTGGAGCAAGAGTATGCTATCAAGCAGTTCCGCGAGTATGCAATCGAATCTCTCAGCGGCGCTGTTAGGATCCCGTGCGTCATTCCTCAGCTACAACCATCCAATGTGAACATATCGGCTTGCGTAGAACGGAGATGTACGATGACATTGACCCCCCTGGTCAAGACCCTCGCTGGGATATATTCGGTCAGATGCACGAGTATTTGGAGGGGAGATTCCCGCTTGTGTGCGCAGGCTCGGGTTTGAATGTTATGACTGAGCGCTGACTGTTTCAACAAGTCATACGAAGTTGCGCCGGACCAAACTGAACCTCTATGCGCTCGTGTTTCACTGGCAGGGCTCGAATGACACACTCAAACCCATGCTGTTGACGGCTCACCAAGGTGGGTCATATTCAGAGTCACTGGACGTGTCTTGTTTACCTTGCTTGGAGATGTCGTCCCGGTCGAACAGCTTACCTTGGACCAGTGGATCAATCCTCCTTTCTCGGGCTACTATGACGGTACAACGCCTTTGCTTGCTATCAGTAATGCTCAGGTTCATGTTTGTTCAAGGTGAATGGATCTGGGGTA